CAGGTACACACCGAGACGTCTCTCAGTGCTTCCCATCTCGCTGCCTAGCTTTGTTAGACCAGGTGAGCAGCGAGATGCCTGGTCCCCCTGCTGGACAAAAGGAACCCTTGAAGCGGAACCCTTAGGGACAGGGGTTTACACACACACACAGGGGAGACCATATTGACACACATAATTTGTAAAAGACTATATATATATATACACATGCATAAGTTTAATATAAGCATTTGCGTGCACACGTACTGCATAGATATATGCATATAAATAGACATGCACGTGATTGAGAGGTCCTCAGGGGATCCCAATTCTCAAAGCGTCAGGTACCGTGTCCAAGGCGATGGACCTGTGCGAGCGGGCGGATTGTCACTGGCGGGCGCAGGTCATGGCCACCACGGTGAGTTTGGCCCTGTTGAACTCCCTAGGGCCCAGTGGTTGTCCTCCAGATTTGGCACCGCCCCTGGAAGCAGAGGCCCGGAAACAAGCGGCGGCTCTTGTCTTCCACCGACGGAAGACGGGAAAAAGGTGACTCGTGACTCGTGAACGTCTCCTTTTTCGGGGTGGGAGGGAGGTTGCATGGCCACAGAAGTCAGGCACCTAAAACTGCCAAAGCGTTTGCTTTCGTGAAACGCACACCTTCAAACGCCCAATCGCAGCCACCTGCTTAGACGTGTGCGGCTCCGAGTCCTCCAGGTGCGAGAGATTTGGATGAAGTGGGGCAGATGGTTGGTGAAGTGCATCGAACCGAAGGGTCAACCCGGGCTTCACCTTCTGGCCGTGCATGGCTTGCTGTTGATCTTGAAGCAGTCGGCGAGTTCCACACACATCCTCCAGAGCGTCCATTTGGCAGAGCTGAAGATGGCTCAGAATTCCTTCTTCCAGAGCTTGTTGCAGGCAGGTTGGGAGGATCGTGCTTAGAAAAGAGGGTGCCATGCGGAGTGTGTGTCACCCAAAGTCTAACAGCAAAACCACGCATATCACAAACATGACAAGGTTGAATAACGCGACTGGCTGTATTTCACAACATGTCATGGTAAAAGAACATATTTTAAGGACAGTTCATCACATGTGATGTAAGAAGAAACGGAGACACCTCTTTAGGCATCTGACGCTGAACCGAGGTCATGCCGCCGATTCACCATGAGGACTTGATGGCCACCGCAGACGACCAAATGGGGCAGAAGAGCGAGCCAACGAGAGATCCGGTGAATGTCACTCCACCCAAATGCGAAAGAACGCGGCAACCCCAAATGGATTTAAATAGACAGAAGACCTAGATCCACTTCCGATCTTCCAAGTGGTCACATGGTTGTTGTGGGCTCTTCTCATGATCTTCCATTTCCTTTTGATCTGCAGGTGTTCCCTTTTTGAGCCACAGAGCTCGGGCCCACCGCTGTCGGGCCACGGTGTTGGCCTTCTTCCAATGGCCGTTTGGCCTTCCTCTTGAGGCCATGACCAGCGGCGGCTTCTTTGACGTGTGGCCTCGGATTTGGCTGAAGAAGTCCTCGAGATCCTTCTCCATTCGAAACGTTTTGTTCTGGCAGAGTTATGTGAAATTCCTGAAGGGCCAGGCGCGGGGGCAACCCTGTGGGAGTTCGGATGAGTTGGTCTTTGAGTCTTTCAAGTCTTTGGTTGATCGCGGTGGAAGTTGGAGGTGTTCAGAGCGCCCGAAACCAATTAGCCCTGCCACATCGTGCCAGATTTCAGACGTGAATCTTAGACAAATCGTTCTACCGTATTGAATCACAGTGGGATCTCAGCAGAGAAATCCTGATGTCAAAATGTTGCATTGCATTGGAGTGCACATTCATTTGCTTTGTATACTGTATAAAGTATAGATTGCCTTACTGTCTTTACTTTTGTTGTGCCCTTCAGGCGCCCAATTGCATTCATTGAGCCCTTTTAAGAAAGGCAATTGCATCCCTTGCATCCACGCCACAAATCTTTCAACATGACATGGTTTTCAAACAAGCAAATGCCAACTAGATGAAAACATACTCCTCCCTTTCCCCCCAGGGCCATCATTTACATCCCTTTCATGTTTTGATGCTACATTTGGTTTGTACAACACAATTCTTGGGTGAAAGCCTGGCTTTTGTAATATGAGATGTGGGTCGGTCAATGTTTGAGATACGACCATCCACGTACAATCATTTGCACCCGATGTTGGAGTGAACACATGTGAACAAGCAGGTGTGTTGAGAGTTTGAGGATCCATCCCCTTGAAGAGCTCTTCACAATGCTGGCATCTTAAAGGTGGACCAAAGATTTGTCAGGCTTTTTGACGGGAAACACTCCCATGGGTTCACTGGGCCGCAGTTGTTGGTCAAAAGTCTTTCTGTCCAAAGGCGGCCCATGGGGGCAAAATGCCACAATCAGGAGACCGCAAACAATCCAAAGGAGCCAAACATGTGAAAGAACTCCAGATGCCCCTCCCAAACGGCCTCGGGGATCTGCCGGGCGCACCCTGCGGGAGCGTGGATCCGCTGCGCCAGGTGCCCCAGGACGCCCTGCTGGAGCTGGTGCGCTCGGGCGCTGAACACCTGGCCTCGCAGCCGGTGGCCGAGGCCGAGTTCCACGCGGCCTTCGCGGAGATGGTGGCGGGGGCCTTGAGGGCGGTGAGGAAAGCGGAAGACAAGGAGCTGCGGGATGCTTGGATGAAAGAATGGGGATTTCGAGTTGCAATGAGTTTTGGACACCCGCATGGTGAGGTTTTTAACGTCTGGGACAGATGGGGAGGGCCATCAAACATTTGGAGATGTTCACTGACGGCTCCAGGTGCGTCCTGTTTCCAAGGATCGCTTGTGGACGGCGCTTCGGCCCTGGCTCCTCTCAGTGTGGCTGGGTAGCAAAAAGGAGAGCCAACCGGTGAGGTACAAACGAAGCATGAAGTCGGTCAATGTGAAGTCCGAACGGTCTACTAATGCAAGTACCAAACGTCCAACTCTTTGGAACCACGGAGGCTCTGGAACTTTCGGTCCTTCGCACGGCGACTTCGTCCGGTGCATCGAGCCGAGGTTGCAGCAAAGCTCGGAGGAACGCCTGGGCGGCTGGTGCGATGGCGTGCGCTTCATGGTCACCGGCTGCAAGCGGCCAAAGCTGGCAGCGATGTTCCCGAGCCATGCAGTGGAGGAGGACAGGCTGTGGGTAGCGGTAACAAGCAGAACCAGGTTGCCATTTGTATCAGGTAGGTAGGTTCTGGGATTGGTTGATTTATGATTTCTATTTAGATTGTTAGTGCCCGTATGTCTGAGAACAGGTATTTGATTCTTTCCATCTTGTTCTTGATGCTGGATTGCCAAAGGGGAGCCAAACTGAACGCTTCGTGTACAGTGGGTCACCCCTGGTCACGATGCCATTCACTGCAACGATCGTTTGCCAGAACGTGCGGGGTGCATATTATAAACCGTACTCCGTTGCCATGGCCCACTTATTACTGTAGATCATAATGCCAGCAAAAAGCGGGTGCAGGTGTTTTTGTGGCCACCAGAAGGATTAAGCTCCTCCTCTGTCTGAACCGCACCATGTTTCATGTCAGAAGTGAGACGACGCCTAGCCATGCTAGGACATGCAATTCCTCATCCCGCTGTTCAACTTCGTCCTTTGTGGAGATGGTGAGTTAGAGTGCAACACCTTGAGCTGTACACTCCCACCGATCAAGTTCGACTACAGCTCTGAAGCCTCAGACCAGGAAGGCTCATCCTTTGACTCGTTCAAGCGGCTGCGGCTGCTGATGTCCCTATTGATTGAGCCATCAGCAATCACGATCATGGCCAACAATGAGGAGTTTTGCAAGAAGCTGGTGGAAACCTTGGAGCTAGGACTCGGTCATCCATACAAGCAACTTCGAGAAGAGGTTGCAAGAGGTCCGCTGAACGAGGGGGTCAAGATGGCTTGAATGTGTCAAGATGAGGGCAATAGGTCATGTCGAATCATGGACAGCCATGTCCAGGTCAGCACAAATGTGATTCTCTGATATTCTCGTTGATTTTTTTTTGGTGAACAAGACTGTTACAGTAGATACCTTCGGTTGCAGGTCTCTACTTCATCGTTGAGGCGGCATCGCATGCTTCGCAAACGCTCGAAACATCCTCTGCAGCTGGGCTGGTAGGTGTGGCCACCTCACTGGAACGTTGGTTCGCTGAGGAGGCTCGCAGACTCAGTGGACTGTTGAGAGCAGACAACGCGGCACACACCAACACCACGGCAGAGGATGGTGCCAGACCCAAGCATGTGGTAGAGAGTTCAGGCTTGCTATACTTGCTGCTGCATTCATCCTTGACCAGAATCTGGGTGGTTCCAATTTTTTCAAGCAATGTTCCACACTGTTCAACCTCATGTCCAAGTTGACACAATTGTTATATAGATCTTGCTTGTGCTTGTGAAAGCCAACAAGGAATGAGTCAACATCATCTTCGATCGTCAGCTCATGATTGGATGCAATTCATCGCAGCTGCAGCGGCGCATGGGGACTTTGAGCTCCGGGCAATTGCGCCCCACGCCATGTCTTTGTGTTGCTGTGCGCATCCATTGACTCCAAGCCTCGAAGAACCCAAGCTCTGGAGCCAATTGCCCATGGTACGGGCATTGCAACCACTGCTCCGTGAAGGTGCCATCGAGAAGGAGCTCGAAAAAGCATTCTCGGCCGGCCTGAAGCCGGCCATTGTGGCCAATTTCTTCCTTCTACTCACAGGTGGCGAAGAATCCTCAAGGCTCTACCAAGAGCTGCGCGTAGCAGCTGAGAGGGCTTTGGGCTTCCCGAAGCCTGAAATTCGATCTGCGGCCAGGAGTTCAGTGGCCAGCTTCCTCACACTTGAAGCAGAAGCTGAGCTGGTGGTCAAGCTGAAGAACCTGAAAACCTTAGCAGGTCCAGCCATGCGCAAACCCAATGATGTACCACCTGAGGCTGAAGCTGTGGCATTTTGCCAAGCTGTGAGTGCAATGGCCTGCATGTTGCTGGCAGCAGCTGATTGTGGAGTGCCAAGATGGTCGGGGCAGGCGATTCAAGCCGTAGCACCCTATGGCAAGACAGGATGCTGGGCGGTGCTTCTTCAATGTGTTTTTCACATTTTGGGGTGGAAACCACTTAAGCGGCATTCCCAAATCCCATAAAGTTGCCGCAAGTAGCCCATTTCATCAGGGAGTGGGGGAAAGCTCGCGAAAGAGTGTCCAAACAAACATGCGCTACAAAAGTGCCACGAGAGCACATTTCCTGGCGGATTATGTTACCCGCGAAAGGACCTTGCAACAGAAATGATCCCGCGAAAGCCACAGTTGCAATTTCACGTTGAATGCCGCACGAAAGCAACACAGGGTTTTCGAACAACTCACTTGAATCAGGATGCTGTGCGATAATACATAGGTTAAAATGTGTGTGTAGTCCACAACACTGATGCGTTGTCCAAAGTTGGATGCTCCGAACATGGCCACCGTCAAATTTGTGATGGGTAAGTGTGGGGCAGGTGGCAGGGGTTCCGGTTCCTATTTTTTTAGACATTTTCTGAGCATAGCTACCAGGAAGGCCAGGCATCCAAGAGCTGGCAAGAAAAGAGGTGCAATCCGCCATCCAAGCCTTTCTGAAGCTGCAGCAATCTAGCCAGACTTCATGGCTTTGCTGAGTGAGTTTCTCTTTCTTTTTCCGAGTTGGGTCATCCACCAACAATTTTGGGGAATCTAGGATCCACTTGCAAGGCCGCTACTAGGGGCTCCTGGCCGTACTACTAGGAGCAAGGACGCTACTAGGGGCTCCTGGCCGGACTACTAGGAGCAAGGACGCTACTGGTCTGTTGCGCGGCCAATCATCAACGCCAAGGACTGCATGGACGGAATGTCAGCAAAAGTTGACTCCCACACAGCTGGACCTCTTGAATGACAACAAGGGCAAACTGTCCTACTTCTCCTGAGCATTTCTGGCAAGATGACAAAAGGTGCCCGCTTCGAGTTTTCTAGCCTTCACTGGCTGAGCCTGTTCCAACATTGCTGTACCTTCACGTGTGCATGTACTTCTTATGAGCGTCCATATTATCATCTGTCACACCTGTCACGAAGCAGCTTCCTACCGGTCTCTGTAGTAGGAAGAGACCCCACCAACGGTCGCATTGCTCATAGGCCTGAAGCAGTGCCTGAAACATGGCTCGTAATGGGCCTGAAACACTTTCAATCAGCTCATCCGCAATCTCTCGGCATTTTTTTCATAGAAAACATTCGCCCGCTCCAAACGCCACCTCGATAGGTATGAGATCCTACTGTGGTTCGTGAACTGCGCCCGAGCTGTTTTGAAGATTTCGCAAGTCTGACCCAAAGGCGGATAGATCTGGATCAAGGTCTTGAGAGATTTCCCACCGCAGAGTTGTGCACTGCTTCGCAGTGCCCAGCGGCTGTTCTTTTCACAGCCCTACATTCACCCCCATGAGGAGACCAGAGGCACACTCAGGGGCACCCCAAACCTCAACGTGCCGAAGGCTCACAAGACACGCACCTCACAAGACAATAAGAATTCAATTAGAATTCTAATTAATAGCTTCTTGTTACTACTAGTAAGGCACCTGTTACTACTAGCGAGGCACTTGTAATTACTAGCCACCAATCGTCGTATCTGGGCACATCGTCGTATTTCGCGACACTTCCGCATATGATGCTCGTTTTGTACACGAATAGCCCACACGGCTGTCAGCTGTGTGGGCTTAGTATTCCGAAAAGAGGCACGGAGATGTACTTTGCGTTGGTTCTTGTGCACGAATGTTTGTTTGTTGCTGGGCTATGTCGCTTTCAAGTTGCTCTCTTGGCCATTGGTCTTCAAGCATGGGCCATTACAAACACATATGGTGAGAAGTAAAGCTTTATGGAACAACGACCGCGCCACCGCCTTCTTCATGCTTTTGGCAGCATGTAGCCACCTTTCCACTGTGGACTGGAGGACCTGGAGTGGTGCTACAATGTCTTTGCTTTGACTCCATTCCACTGACCACTCTGTGCTACTCTCCGCTCCTCCAAGAGTACAACCCGTAAGTAACTCCGCTCCGCCCCTGGAGCAGCTCCGGTCAGACGCCTTGTGACACGTCCACGCGCCATGGATGCCGCCCGCACCTAGCGTGAGCGATGCCCAAAGCGAAGCATCGCATCACAGCAGACGGCCGCTGCAAGCGCGAGCGCGGCGATGCTGAGGTCGGGTCGGAGATGTTGGCCTCCACCAGAGTGCAGTTCTTGAGGTGTTTCTGTTGGCGAAGGCACCAGGTCTTACATTGGTCTTACTACGTTGGGTCTTCCGACATCATGACAGACTGGTGTGGCGGACCAAGGCACAAGCTGATGCAGTCTCCAGTTGGAGGTGCCAAAAGTGTGCCGCAGCTGCAGTCAGACATTCAGCATGAGATTGAGCTAGCAATCTCCCAGAGGCATGTCAGATCCAAAAAAGAACGAAGTCCCGCACATCCTGCCCCCAGGTAGCTTCGTCAACGATGACGACTTGCCTTTCTGCATCTTGGTCCTGGAAGAGGATCCTTCCATGTGCAACTGATTTCAGCTGCTGCACATCGATGGTGGTGCAATCCAGTGGTTTTATCAACATCTATATAACAATGTAACTTGTGCACCCTTATTGGACCTTTGCACTTGCTGATTTGGTCAACCACTTCATTTCAATCTCGCAGGGCCAGCTGATGCTTGGCTGATTTCTCCAAGGTGAAATGTGTCAAGAGCCGAGAGAAGGCGAATCACGTGGCTTGGACGATAGAAGGAATTCCCCAAATCCCAATAGAGGTTTCCCCGCTCGTGGAGACAATTTGGACACATTCTAAAGAAGGCATTCAGAGGAAGTTAAGAATTGGCAGGGCAGAGGATGCTTGCGGACACCGAAGTGTTTGGTTGATGCCGTGGATGCCGTCCACGCCGGTCAGGTGAAGCAGAAGAAGGCAGCGCACTTTGGATAGATGTTTTGGGATTCTGTGACGGGCGTGATGGAACATGTGAATATGCTTGGTAGCACCCGGTGGTGGAAGACTGACGCCGCACAACCTCCCTTTGTGAGCACATCCTTGTCAGCAACGATTAAGATGGCATAGCATTCTGGCACAAACAAGGGAGCTGAAACTGTGAACGTGCGACAGGGACTTTCACTTTGAAGCCCCTATGGAGCTGGTTGTCGATTCAGCGAGGTTTGCATCCCCTTGAAGAAGAGTTCTAACAAGCCAGTTTTTCTTTTCTTTAATTGGGGTCTTTGCGACAAGACCCTCACTCAAATTTTGTCCCTCTACGACTCAAAATGTAAAAAGTCCAGTGGCCCTTCTTGAAACGAACCGTTGCTAGCTGAGGAAGATGACGCGGCGGACTGGCTGCTTGGAATTCAGGTGGTCTGAAAAGCGTGGAATTGATACGTTTTTGTACAGTTTTGGGATAAACACATCTTGGAGAGTCCGGTGCCTGTCTTGACTTGAGTTAGCTTGGAGACTTGGATCCGGAGTGGCCTGTCCCTACCGGGCTTCTTTTGGTTTGAAAAGGGCTCCTGCCAAGCTCTTTGCTGTCCCGCCTGACATCAAGGATAGATGCCCAGGTTTGGTTTTGCTGTCATTTATGGGAATGTGATTTTGGTCTTCTCGTGGGGCTTTGAGGCTAAGGATGGGCGCAAGATCTGGTTTTTATTTAACATCCCTCGTATTTGTCTGACTTGCTCGCTCTCAGACTCTTGATCTGATTGGGCCAAGGTTCTGCAGCAAGTGCTCCTTTAAGAACACTGGGCTGTTGCCATACTGTGAGCTTTGCGAGGACGGATCTCGTGTTGCGAGTGGCAGGTGGTCACAGCTGTGATATCTGATAGTCATTGAGTGTGTTGTGCGGTGGTTTGTGCTTTCGATTGCTTTCGGAGACCTGGTTTCGATGTGTGACCGCCCTGCAGAATGCTCGCTCGAGTTCATCCAGTGCTCAGGACTGTATCTGGAGGTTAGGCTGTGTTGTGAGTTGTGAGGGCAAACATTTTCCTTCACTTTAAGTAGGCGAAGGCCCAACGCAGTAACACGTGCTTTGAAAATTGCATTGGTGAACAGCACGCACGCACAAAGTGCACTCGTGGGCTGATGTGCTTCGGGTTTGTTAAACCAGGAGGTGCACGCCTGCCCCCTTTGCTCCTTCGAGAACGCTAGTTCCCGCACAGCCTGCGCGCCACTTGTTGAACTGGTCGGGTGGTTTGTAGGAGAAGCTTCTGTACAATTCTGCAACCGCAGGGGAAATTTTGGAGGAACTTATTCTCGACCAGTTTCTGATGATGCTACAGGCTACAGGTGTGATGCAAAGAGAACCCTGAGTTTGTTTTTCAGCTGGATCCCGTTGACGAAGTGGGGTATTTTTGCACAACTTTTTAATTGTTTCTGGTCTGTGAAGTGCGAGGCTAAGAGGCTATTCCTATGTTTCATGTTGTTTCCAGCTCTTCAATCATTTGTTTGATGTTCACCTTCACTTAGGATGTGCTCCACTCCTTTGCCATCGGTGCCAGCTTCCACTGGCTTCTCGCACTGGACAGGCTGTGTTGGAGGTCAATTATTCTCCAGGACATCTCTTCTTCCATGAGCATGTCTGTTCTCAATAAAGGCGCAGGCCATTGTCTTCCCTTCGTTCATCCCAGTTTTGGGTTTCATTTTGAGACACCTCCAGTTGGAAGGCCAGTTGCACCCGGGAAGTTCAACATGGAACCGGAAAATGGACAATTTGGACTCTTTTGCTTTACAACCGGGTGGTTTTCGGGTTCCATATGGTTCCATGTTAATTTTCCAGGGTGTAGTAGATTCAATCAATTTAGTTATTTAGCTGGTCAATCCGCTGTTTACTCCGCCCAGGCGCCCCGGCGCCCTCCGGCTCGGGCGCCGGCTCCAGCGACCGTGCGGACCCGGCGGACCCGTCTCCGCCAGCGCCGGAGACGGCACCCGCCTTCACGGAGGAGGACGGGACACCGGGTGAGGTCGTGGGCCCCAAACAGGAAGTCGCCGGTTCGCCGATTTTGATGACCCGATTTGGTTGCCGGGTGCGGCGTTTCTTTCGGTGCTTCGATGGTGCACGAGAGAACGGTAGAAGCACCATCTACAGCGGCCAAACAAGGAGCCGTGAAACCGAAAAGCACTTGATATTCAAAGCAGCTCTCGGACTGCTAATGACTGGGAACACGTGATCCGTGGCCGTTTTGGCGCAGTTCTTTTGAACACTGCCTTTCTGAGAATCACTGGAGGTATGAGATGATAATGCATATTGCGCTTGCTTGTCAATTAAGTGCTTTGTTGGCACCAAATTTGATCTCGAAATGGAATGGTCGATGACCATTGATCCTTTTGAAGTGAGATCGCCAGGTGCACCTTTCCTGGTGAATGATGAAGCAACTTTAGTGAGTTCATGCCCGGTTGTACCGATTTGAACGGATGAGGTTGACCTGGAATAAGAAGGGACTATCACAAACTTCGACTCCACTCTGATTTCAGGGTTTTGTTCGATCTTTGACCCATCCTTCACATTCTATGCGCCCTTTGCTCCATAGGGTGGGTGTTTACGGTAGGCCACACACATTACACAACATGACACCTGCATGCGATACCAACAGTGACACCATGATATCGAACTACCCGCAATTGACTCACCATGACCGATCGATCTTTTGGAGGTTTGGATCTGCCATTGCGATGGTTACTGAACGGTGGAAGCATGGAGCTTGCCCACCTCCAATGCCAGAGGTCAACCTTTGACCATTTTCGGGCGCGGGACGAGGTCTCTTTCCCAAAGCCAATCTTCAGGGCTCAAGTGTGAAGCAGTGAGTTTGACATTTTTGGGGGGCTCAGGTTAGACGGAGGCATCGTCCTGCCAGGAGCGTCGATTGCTCACATCCATGGGCTGGAATGACGAAGATGACGACGAGGAGGGCGGGTTGGAGGCCTCTTGACAGCGCCAAGAGCCTGAGTTTACTGCACACCAACACCATAGCTACCTTCCAGTCCTTTTTTGACCTTGTAAAAGGTGTTGGAATGGTTGGGGTCCACTGTGCTATACACTGCAATGCTGTTGCGTGTTTGGCACTGTTCTCAGCGTGGTGAGAGGCAGAGAGGCAGGTGCCTTCAGCTGAGGAATGGGAGATTGATGCAGCGCAAGAGTGTCTTCGATCTTGATAGTTTCTGCTTTGGGGATTGGCGAGTGCCTCTATGTCCTGTGATACCTTGCCAACTTCACTTCTAACTCCTAGCTATGACGCAGTAGGTGGGGTCTTGGCATGTCTTGGCCATCCGCCCGCCTGCCACGGGCGCACCCTTCGCTTTGGCTTGCTCGGTGCTTCACCGCTTTTGGCCAAGGAGCCTGATCGGCCGCCTCCAAGCCGAGGGCGACCGCGAGACGCTGCGCGACCGCGCGCGGCGGGAGTTCGACGCTTGGAAATCCGGCCCTGGCTCGACACTTGGCAGGATGGTCAGCGGAGCAGGGTGCGAGGGCAGTGTTACATCACTGGAGGCAGTTTGTTCTTGATGTTCTTCTTCTTCTTCTTGTTGTTGTTGTTGTTGTGGTTGTTGTGGTGGTGGTCGTGGTGGTCGTCGTGGTGGTCGTCGTCGTGGTCGTCGTCGTGGTCGTCGTCGTGGTCGTCGTCGTGGTCGCGTCGTGGTCGTCGTCGTGGTCGTCGTCGTGGTCGTGGTCGTGGTCGTCGTCGTGGTCGTCGTCGTGGTCGTCGTCGTGGTCGTCGTCGTGGTCGTTGTCGTGGTCGTTGTCGTTGTCGTCGTCGTGGTCGTCGTGGTCGTCGTGGTGGTGGTGGTGGTCGTCGTGGTCGTCGTGGTCGTCGGTAGTAGTAGTAGTGGTGGTGGTGGTGGTGGTTTTGTGAGGTTGCGTGTTGATTCTGAGACTGCCATAGGCCGTCCCTTGTGTGGCTAGTATGCTGTGACAATAAGCAATCCCAAGACACACAGCCAAGCACACAGATCAAGGAAACACTTCACAGTCTCTCCATGCCTTGTCATTAAGGTGACTTGCAAGTTGAATGCTGATGCCTGCTCCTCATGCTCTCATGCACGGTCGCAGGGGAGCCCGCCTTACAATAGCAAGATATAACTGGAATATGGATTACGCCTCTCACGAATGCACAAACACGCACCACTGTGGTTCTAGTCATTAGCTTGATGGAACGGCAAAGTTCTGAGAGACTTGCCTCAGTCTCACGCGGAATTGGCCCAAAAAAAGCCATGAGCAAAACTGGTGGGTGCCGTGGGTGCGTGCGGCCAAGCTGCTGAGGTGTGGGAAGTGGAAACTGCCCCCGGTGGTTTTAGAGAGCAATGGCCAAGAACACAAACCCATATAATCCCATATATATATATATAATCCTTATTTTTGGGTTTTCGCGCCGCCCCCGGCCGCCTCCGCGTCGGGAACGACACAAAAAAAATAACACAGTATAATTACTAAGCAATCGTTTTACGCGACATTTCCAAACTTGAAAAGACACACGGAATTCAACAATTCAAAAATTCAAAAATTCCAAAATCCAAAAATTCTAAACCCCACAGAAAAAAAATGTGCATGGGAAAACCCAAAAATTCAAAAATTCAAAAACTACTTGCCCGAACCAATAGCACAAAACCGTCCAAAAATTCAAAAATTCAAAAAGTTCATTGTCTTTACAATCCTTAATTTTTTTTGTTGAGTCACAGTAGTTGGAGCTCATCTAGGGCTCACCGACATGTGGGATGCCTGAGCTGAAAACATGCTTGGCCCTTCTTGGTGGGCCGGCTGGTCATGGCTCCCTCTCGAAGACAGGTTGGGTTTTCCAAGATTTTCCAAGTCTTTAGTGGGGGAAGAGGTGCACGATGATTTGTTTTAGGTTTCTTCCGGGTCTCTCTATTCAAAATGCACATCCCATTCAAGCCCCATTTTCTATTTGCATGATGAATGATGTCATTGGCCCTGGCTCCAGCTGTCACTGGCAGCTCACGCGGTGGTTCATGTCCCGGTGGTGCCCCCTTCGCAGTGCCACCACGGTGCTTTGGTGGCGTGGCGCCCGGGCGCGACACTTCAGCCGCAGGACAGGACGGAGACTCCATGTGACCATTTGTCCCCATATTCTGCCACAAGTGTTTTTAAATGGTATGTAATATGTGCAGTAACACTTAGACTTAGACTTATACTGTATATAAGTGTGCTTATAGGCATAAGCGAACACGTGCCCCACATAAGACGAGCTTGCAAGCTATTGTTGTTGTTGTTGTTGTTACTGTTACTGTTACTGTTACTGTTACTATTATTGTTGTCCAATCTGTACGTGAGCATGCTTGCAGTGCAAAGCCAGCTCATGGTGTTCCAAGTGCAGGATGGTGGAGAGTGAAAGCGATGAACTCTCAAGAGAACACCGAGGCCTGTATAGACCTTGGTTTTTGGTGCCAGTTCTTTCTCTAGCGATGATCGTTTCTGTCGGGGAGTTGCCCACATCCGCCCAGGTGAACGCTGGGACCAACTCTGGGTACCGGGTTTCTCGGCCGCCTTCTTCTCCCCAGGTCGGTATATGGAAGCATGTGGAATCACGATCTACACCGAACATACCCCTTTGCAGATAAAGACGATGGGCCCTCAACACATGCTTGTAAGGGGCGGACGGTCTTCCAGTTGGGACTGCAACTCTGCTCCTGCACAACTCTGGCAATTGAGGTGCCTTGATCTTGGGAGTCATCGTAGGCCCGCCTGCGGGATGGGGAGAGAGGCACACCTCCCAGCAGATTCCTTTCAGTCAGCTTGGAGGTTTTGCTTGGCTTTGCGCTGCTTTGCATAGATCTGAGAAGCTGAACCTGTACAGCAAGCTGGGTGGCTGAGATCTAGGTTTGGCTCCAGTGCAGGCGTCTTCATGCCGGCCGAAGCTGGGTGGGGCAATCGCATCTCGGAAATGTTGGGGTGGACCTACTTCTTTGCATGGCCGCTTGGTTTGCTTGGATGATTGTTCGTGTGCGTTCCAGGGTTGAGGGGATGACTGCAGCCTCCAAGGGGAGCAGACATTGGTATATAGACTTTCGTTTTTGGGTAGGCTGAACAATGGCAGGGTCCTTGTGCTTTGGCAACCTCAGCATGGTCCCTTGTTCCAGCAGGTCAGTCTCCTTCTACCCACAGGCCCGTGAGATAAAGCTTTTGGTCAGAGAAGCTGTCAGAGAGAGAGGGTCCTTTCACTTGTTCATGCATAGCTCGGAAGCAAGATTCTTGTGATTCTACAGTATATCATGTGTACGTCCCTTTGCAGTCAGCTGAGTGATCTATATGTAGGAGATAGCCATCTTGCCGGAGTTTGAAAACCTTGGCAGGTCGTACTCAACTTCAGAAGGAAGAGTGTGGCTGGTTTGTCGTTAGATTACCAGCTTCTTGGCCAGATTCTATTCGAGGCCCCTTCGACGTCGACACCGGTGGTGACGCCGGTGATTACCGCTGGCACGCCGCATCAGGTTTGGAAGGTTCTTGCCAGCCAGTGCCGAAGCCAACCGTCACAGTGTCAACCGAACGATGCAAGGCTTCTTTTTGTTTTGGTTGTGCTGCCTTGAATGCAAGGATTCTGAATGCTGCTTCCCAGCTGCAGTGAGAGCACAACAGCACAACACACCTCCGAATTGGGTCTAGTACCTCCAAACAAGGTGTGTGTTTAGATTACGTTTTTTCTTTGTCTTTTTGTGGCAAGCTTGGAATAGCTTTCATTGCTCTTTTGACAGTTGAGAGCTGACTTAGTTTGGTTTTGGATGCTACTTCCTCTTCAATGCCATGTTTTTCTACGATTCTGGCATTCGTGCTGCTTATCGAGAGGAGCATGACAACCAGGAGCCGGTGTGCGAATGACCTTGGGTTTGTCAGTTTGTTTCTTCACGACTTCATTCACGGCATCTTCGACGTGCATGTTGCATCGCTGCATGGCCCATGGCGTAGACAGGACAGTGGTGTGCGGCTCAATGACGTGATTTTCGCTGGCCACGCCTTTTGCATCACTCTCCTGACCCTGCTTCAAATTTGCATCCGGTCGGGCACTGGGGAGTGGATTCCGTGAGGTCATGGAGTCATGGCGCCTTCGAGGCGACACGTCGATCAGTAGAGTTCACAGTAGGACATCGCGACTTGCCTCAAAGTCTAAGAAAGAAGAGGACACCTTTGCACTCGGATTTCTTCAGGTTGTCCCGCCCTATCTCACCCTCATGTTCGGATGCTGTGAGAGTTCAGGGGAAGGCCCATCTTGTTGGGATACCCGCCGCGTGTGAAACGGTGGCGTCCGCCCACTTTGGGACCCACTCGGGCAGTGGACGAGGTGGGACGATTTCTTCGGGTCTGCGTGTTACGTGTTGTTTGTTTCCGCAGCTCTGCCGGACTCAAGTGGTACGTCTGATCAGACCTTCTCCCCACAGAGGCGGGACTGGTCAATGCCTTCAGCATGCCTGGAATCATTATCAACATGTGATCTTGAACTTGAAGGCCTGAAGGCAAAAAAAGGGGAGGCGAGGGGAACTGGGATGAAGTGGGTGCAATTGTGCTTTGAGGTCATGGCCGCGAAGAGCAGCTTTCGAAGCCTTCTAGCGCTTCTGCTCAGCCTTCCCATCAAAGCCAGCCCTGCTCGTGGAGCTCAGACTCCTCAGGTGCGGCCCCGGCAGAGTTCTAGTGGAACCGCCGCCGTGCCGGCACCCTTGCATTTGGGAGCGACGGCCGGAAGTCATTGCGTTTATGTCCCAGTCCATTTGGTGTCAGGGCTTCAGAACGCCCATAGCTCTGCTGGGAGCTTGTGGGCTTGGGTGGTGGCGGCTGGGGGTGCCATCCATGGGGTGAGGCAAAGCCACGAGCCCCGGCCCCGGGGGCGCCGAAGTAATCTGGTGGCCCAAGCGCATGGGGCACATGGGGCACCGGTGGCACATGGAGCACATGAGGATGGCTGGCAAACAGCCAGTGAGGATGAGGAGGAGGGTTTCACTCGCCAAAACACCGAGATACATCAGGTGCCACCATCCACATTTCCGGATTACCAGATGAACTTCTTCCCTTCTCCCCAGCCCTATTTTGAGAACGGCACCTCTGGGCATTGGCCGCAGATGATGCCTTTGGTCATGGTGGCTATGCCGCAGCACGGCTTGGAGGCAAGTTCAGAGGCAGCTGCGCAGATTCCTCCAGTTCCTCAAGTTCCGGCAGCTCCTGGCACGGCTGGTGTCACTTCAGCTCCTCCAGTACCTCTCTTGGAACGTGTGACGACCCCAAGCTCGGAAGCCTCGTGGCAAACCGCGGCCTCTTCGAACAGCTCCCGATGGACGAGTCGAGATTGTGAGTGGACCAGTCGGCAGTTGATGAAACCTCACTTCCCTCAACGTCAAGAACTCTTGCAGCAAGTGATCCAAGATGCTTGGAGCTTGGCCAGTAGCAAGCACGGCACGCGGGTCGTGCAAGCCGCGCTGGATGCTGCCGACTATGCGGAGAAGCAGTTGTTGGCCAACACCATGGTGGGCCGCGTCTGGATGGCCCTTAAGTCGCCCCACGCGAATCACGTCCTGCAAAAGATCGTGGCGTTGATGCCACCAGAGAAGATTCAGTTTGTGATCGACGAGACTTGGCCAAGTTGTTCTTTTCCGAAGGTCTGAAGTCTTGGAGTTTGCAATCCTTTCTTTTTCTTTGGCCCTGCCTCCTTGCTGAATCAAGTAGGCGCCTACTTAATTAAGGGAGCAAGCTACTAGTAACGGGACGCAGGATAGCTCACGCTTTCTTCTACGAAGCTTCCCCGCCTGAGGGCGGGGGGAAGTTTCCTTGAAGAAGCGCTCGCACTACTGATTTGGTTCCTAGTTTTCTTTTTTTGGAATTGAAATTTATGTAACTTTGATCAGTTTTGGTTATCACTTCTTCCACACCGCAGCGTCGGTGATGTGCTCAAGCGCTGAACTGCGAAGCCGAAACGCCCCGACTGTAAGCCTTGTAAGACTGCCCAAGTTCCGTGGCTTTTCCGCAGGAATTGGCCGGCAGGGTGGCTGATGCGGCAAGGCTGGGTGGCTGATGCATGGGACAATAAACAATGCCTGTCCATGATATGGTAAGCACGCCTGCATAAAGAAGCTAGCGAGTAAGTCCCTAGAAGCGAACAGGCCGAGAGAATCCACTGCTTGTTTTTCTTCATATTGAATGAGGTCGGCCCTGATAAGCATACATAGCATGAGCAGCATGAGCTCATTAAGAGCATCCTGCTTGCATGTGCCAAACCTGGGTGAGGGGTGCTGGCTAAGGCTGCCAAGGCTTTGTATTTGGGGGGGAGTGTCCTTGAGGTGTATGTGAGTGCTAACCCCCGTAATGCTTGGACAAGGGGCCTGGGTCAAAATGCCAGTCGTTCCAGCACGTCCTCAGACACCCTTTCGGCTGCCGTGTGCTGGAACGGCTCCTGGAGCATTGCAGCCGTGAGCAGAATGAAGCGATTCTGCGAGAGGTGGTGATGCTTGGTGGCACTGAATGCCAGCGATTTGAGGGCGGACACCTTCATGAAATAAGTTGGAGTCAGGAGAGTTATATTGATATATACGTATAATATTAGCTGTTCAAGCTGCCCCTGAAATGATGAACCCCTTGAAGTTGGGAAGTTAGGAAGTTAGGAGATGTTAGAAGGGGAACAGCTGGAACCAGCAGATGCTTGGAAGGTTAGTGCAAGATGGGCACTCACAGCTGTTGGCTCAGTGATCCGCTGCCATGGTGTCCTTCTGTAAGAAGGCAGAGCTTGAAGCTGATGAGTCCCCCTTGGAGCAGGAGCTGCAAAGCTTGCGCAAGACGATGGAGCACGGCTTCGCCCTGCAGCTCAGCATTCTACAGGACCTGCGGCACCAGATGACCGCTCCTCGTGTCAAGCGACTGGCGCGCCCCAGCATGGAGTCCACGGCCCACCTCAGTGTGGAGTCGGAGAGTGTCCCCAGCCCGAGTAGCCCCAGCCCAAGTAGTCCATCCATGTCCAGCTTGATTGAAGCTTGCCTGCACATCGTGACCCACATCGGACCCCCACATGTATCAACATATGTATCACATTTGTTCACCCTGGCTGACTGGTTGGTTGGGTTGTGCACTTCATTGTTTTCCTCACCTCCACTTTGCCTGGCGCACACGCATGTCTTTTCGTAGTGTGTGGATGCTTCAGGATGGGGATGCCAGATCATCCATTTTCTCCCGGAACGTGTCCGTGAACAACTCCCTTTTCCGTTTGGAGCCTTGGCCGAATCACCAGTGCGCTCCCGTTCCGAAGTGCTCCCAGCTCACAAGGACTCGAGGACATCGGCCGTCTCTCAACACGGACCGGTGGAAGAGGAGGAAGAGTACACGGAAGACGAATCAGAAGAGGTGGAAGAGAAGCGCCAGAAGGCAGAGGAGTTGCCCGGCTTTAAACCTTTAAGCTCATCCTTGAGTTGCTCAGTGTTGAGAGGATCTGGTATATTTGGTGCACGAACCTCGAAAATCTTTAGCAAAGAATCAAAGACTGTACTCTGTACAAGAATTGGTTGATGAATCTCAAGGACCATGTGCCAGATGTCGGCGTAGCAAAGACTGTGTAGCAGCTTAGCATCTGCTCCCAAGCTCGGAGACACAGAGCGAACAGCCCCCTCAAACAGTCAGAAGTAGACCAAGAGATCTGCCATGAAAGCCATCTGGTAGGCCGACAATCTGCTGCATGGTCGAACTGTTACGACCGGCGGGCAGAGACGCCCAAGATCCCACGTAAGGCTCGTCGTCCAACACGCCAAAGAATGACAAGGATGTACGTAAGCAATCGTAAGCATGCCAATTTGCCCTGTGCCGGGTTTGCACTACCGGGGCATCGCTATGAGCAACAAGAAGCTACTAGAAGCTCCTGGCCCTTACTACTAGGAGAAAGAAGCTTAGTAACAAAGGGCATCGATACGAACGGAGCAAGGACGCCAGAGACATGTGGCAAAGGACGACGAACAGAGTCGCCCCGCTAGGGCACATGGCACTGACACTCTGTCGAGCAACGCCACGCGGCCATATGGGGCTTCAGACGGTCGACGGCGCCGACACATCCCAGCGAACGCTTCATCGCAACGGGAACGCGTGCTGAAGACTGCATCGATGCCGGGGAGCCTTGAGGATCCTTAAAGCCTCCCCTCCCAGTTGGTGAGAGAGCTACATCGAATCATTGAACAGCTCCCCGACAAAAGGCGAAGCCAGGCCAATCTTTTTGCAAGGGTTGAGCGATAAAGCAATGAACCAAGGACAGTGAAGGAAAGCCCTTCCCTGAAGAGGGCAAAGAATAAGAAGAAGCGTGACAGCTCGAGACACTCCTTCGTGCGCCGGGCGCTGGAAGCACACCAGGAGAGACTAAATGATTTGGGGGGATGGTGCAGGCTGTGCAGCGGAGACACTGAAGTCCCAGACTAGAGGTCCATCCTGCCAGCTCCGTTTTGGGATTTGGCTCTCCCATGGGGCCGGAGCGCACCCAGACCGGTGCTCCTGGGGTCGAGGTCATCCGGGCGCCAGGAGAGAGCCACCTCTGAGGCCGTGCGTTTAGCCCGGCTGCGGGAGAAGAAATCCTCGAAGACGGGCGGCAGGAGTGCATGGAGGAGCCCGCTCGGTGACCGAACGAAGACGGTTCGATCAGCTCAAATCCGGAATCAGGTCGGTGTGGATGTCGAGCTCAAATCGAAGAGCTGCTTGGTAACACACAGATTTAGAATGATATTCAGTTATTGAATGTTATTGACATGAATAGATTTCTTAAGACATGCCATGACTTACAACCTGATATTTACAGTCTAAGCCTTTCGCTGGCTCAAGCAGATGTTCGATTCATGGGGGGTGAAGGATCAAGCTGGACAAAGTCATCTCGTCAACAACAGCCTCAAACGTCATTATGATGGTGATTATGCTGAATGTCATTCTGCACCGCGGCGGATGGATTGATGTCCCCATCTAGCATCATCTAGCTCTCCCATGAAGAGGCGGAGACCTAGGCCATCAGGAAGACCGAAGAAAATACTGATACCTTCCCTGCAGA